CGCCGCAGCTACGTGGGCAGGAAGCGGATGCAAGTGGAGCAGCCGGAGAAGCCGGTGCCGCGCGTGCGGAACCTCGTGGTGGCCGATTACTCCTACTGGACCCTGGCCTACGTCATCTCGCTGCAGGGCGCGCGCAAGCTGCTGGCGGCCGAGCCGCTCGCCAAGATGCTGCCCGTGGACGAGTTCCTGCCCGTCATGTTCGACAAGCACCCCGTGTGAGTCGGGGGGCTGCCCCTTTTTCCTGGGATCCGCCCGGGAATTCGCCCGGTTTGGGTGCGGTCGGCTGTAGTTGGTCACGGTGACGGCGAGCGGCGGTTGGGGCGGGAGCCGCGCGTGGCACCGGCCGGGGGCTCCCGTGGGGATGGAGCGGGCTGGGAAGCCGGCGCTGGTCCCCAGTATCCCGGTGCTGGGAATTCCGGTGGCTCCCGCGTGTCCTGCGGGTGTTCTTGGGGGGGAAAGGAGGAGTTTGCCCCTTGGGAGGAGGGATTTGGATGCTTGGGTGGGCGCTGGAGGGAGATCCTGCTCCCTTGGGATGCTCAGAGGGGCTACGGATCGGGATGTAGATCTGGCTGTGGACCAGCCATGGATAGGGCTACGGATTGGGATGTAGATCAGGCCATGGATGGGGCCGTGGATGGGGCTGTGTATTGGGCTATGAATCGGGCTGTGGATTGGGTTACGGATGGGGCTGCGGATCGGGATGTAGATCAAGCTGTGGATGGGGCTACGGATCGGGCTGTGGATGGGGCTATGGATTGGGATGTAGATCGGGCTGTGGATGGGGCTATGGATTGGGATGTAGATCGGGCTGTGGATGGGGCTATGGATTGGGATGTAGATCGGGCCATGGATCGGGATGTGGATCAAGCCATGGATGGGGCCATGGATGGGGCTATGGATTGGGCTGTGGATTGGGATATAGATCAGGCTGTGGATGGGGCTATGGATCGGGATGTGGATCAAGCCATGGATGGGGCTGTGGATTGGGATATAGATCAGGCTGTGGATGGGGCTATGGACTGGGCTACGGATCGGGATGTAGATCAGGCTGTGGATGGGGCTATGGATTGGGCTGTGGATTGGGTCGTGGATGGGGCCATGGATCAGGCCATGGATGGGGCTGCGGATGGGGCTGTGGATGGAGCTATGGATCAGGATGTAGATCAAGCCATGGAT